GCAAGATTCACTTTTCAAAGGAAAGTGAAAAGTGATTCACTTTTCAAATTTCAAAGGAATTTACATGATATCTTACTATTTATAAACACATATTGTTAATATATGTATTATATATTACATATGTGTAGTATTTATCTATACACATATTAATATAATATTGTACATTCTGATGATTAGTCACATGGTAAAAGCATCTATGGGTGGACAAGAAGGATTTTTTTTTAAGATTTTATTTATTCATTCACGAGAAACACACAGAGAGAGGCAGAGACACAGGCAGAGGGAGAAGCAGGCTCCATGCAGGGGAGCCCAACACAGGACTCGATCCTAGGACCTCAGGATCACACCCTGAGCCAAAGGCAGACGCACAACCACAGAGCCACCCAAGTGTCCCAAGGAGGATCTATAGCAACTTGAGAATAATGGTTATCTGAACAGGGGAAATAAGGAAGAGCTTTGAATTTATCAGAGTCTTTTTATTTTTAAGAAATATGGAGCAAATACAGCATGATGTTAATATTTGTTAAATATGTAGGCAAGTACATGGGTGTCTGTCATAATATCTTTTGTACCTTTTTTTTAAAAAAAAAGTTCTATTTATTCATTTGAGAGAGAGCGAGCGAGCAGAGGGGAGGTGCTGAGAGAGTCCAAGTGAACTCCCCACCAAGCACAGAGCCAGATGCATGACCAGATCCCACAACCCCGAGATCATGACCTGAGCTGAAACCAAGAGTCAGTCACTCAACTGAGTGAGCCACTTAGGTGCCCATTTTTTGTACCTTTCTTTAGAAAAGATTTTATTTATTTTTAGAAAGAGAGCATGAGCAGAGGGAGGGGCAGAGGGGAGAGGGAGAGAGAGAATCTCAAGCAGACTCCCTTCTGAGCACAGAGCCTGCTGCAGGCTCCATCTCACCACTCTGAGATCATGACCCAAGCTGAAATCAAGAGTCCAACATGTAACTGACTGAGCCACCCAGGTGTCCCTTTTTTGTGTGCCTTTTTTATTGGAAATATTTCATCATTAACTTTGATCACAATTGATGAAAGAAAAACAAACGGATGAAGATTTAGAGCAGGTACACCTTAGCACTTTGCCCCTTCCCCACTTTATAGGTGGGAAATAGAGGTCCAGCGAGAGCAAGCCATTTGTCCAAGGTCACAGAATGAGTGCAGAGCTGGGAAAAGAATGTAGGTCTCCAGACTGGTGCACTTTCATCGTGACATTTGTCAAAGGGTGTGTGTGGTATCCGTGGCCTCGGGCTCGTGCTTGACACTCACGTCCAGATTTGGAAAGCTGTGCTGAGCTGTTCACTGTGCTATGCCAGGTCAGTGGGCACAGCCTCTTAGGACAGGCTCCTCTCCACTGCAAAAAGCCTGGGTTACTGCAGTGGCCCCTTACACTCTGGGGACATCCATCCCTCTACTCATACATATATTAATTCATCCATCCACCCACCTACACACCCACTCTCCCTTTCTTTGACTCTCATCCTCCATCCACTCATGGGCCAAAGTTTTATTGAGGGCTTACCCTGATTATGTGCAGAGGGCACAGAATAATAACACTGAGTGGTTTCCCAGCCCCAAGGAGCCCACTGTCCATTAGAACAATAAAGGCGTGAATTAAAAGAAACAAACAAATGCCTGAACCTCCACTGTATGGCAAATGTTTTCCTGGAGATATTGGGTATAATGGGAGCAAATAAGGAAGTCTGATCTATTCTAGAGGAGAAGGGGAAGCAGGCAGTCAGAGGATGCTGTGGATTTTTTTTTAAATTTTAATTGTGATAAAATACACATAACCTAAAATTTATCATCTCCAACGTTTTTAAGTATACAGTTTGGTGGCATTAGGTACACTCACATTGTTGTGCAGCCATCACACCCGTTCATTGTGGTTTTGATTTGCATTCCTTTAATGATTAGTACACTGAGCATATCTTTACGTACTTATTGGCCATTCATATATCTTCTTTGGAGAAATGGCTATGTGAATAATGATGCTATGAACATGGGTGTACATGTATCTGTTTGAGTTTCTGCTTTTGATTCTTTCTGGTAGATTGCTGGATCATATGGTAATCCTATTTTTAATTTTTTTGGGAACTGCCATATGTTTTTGACAGCACCCATGCTGCTTTACCTTCCCACCAATGGTACACAAGGGTTCCAATTTCTCCACAGCCTTATCAACACTTGTTATTTTTGTTCTTTTTAATATTTATTGATGTATGCATATATGTATGTATGTAATCTCTACACCCCATGTGAGGCTGGGATCAAGAGTTGCCCACCCTTCCAACATTGTGGCTTTGATTTGCATTCCTTTAACGATTAGTATAGTGAGCATGTTTTTTATATGCTTATTGGCCATTCACATATTTTTTTTTTTTTGGAGAAATGGCTATTCAAGTTCTTTGCTCATTTTTAAATTGGGTTGTGTGTGGTTTTTGTCGCTGAATTATAGGAGTTCTTTGTGTATTCTGGGTATTAACCCCTTATTCTTCTCCTATTATGTGGGGTTGCTTTCTGTGTCCGTTGACTGCGCCCTTTGATACACACCATGGAGATTTTAAAGGGTCACAGAAGTCAGCCTGTTTGGGCAGCAGCAGGATGAGGGGAAAGGTGCTCCGGGCACAGGAAGCAGCCTGTGCAAACACACAGGGGAAAGAAAATGTAAGCAAAATGTAAGAAGTCGAGGCTTGCTAGAACACGTGTGGAGGGGTAGGAAGTGGGGAGCGGTGAGGCGGCGCAGCCCCAACACGGTAGGCCCGCCAAGCAGCTTGGACTTGGCTCTAACGCGGTGCCAGGTTCAGGGAGCCGTCCGGGGGCCCCTGCCCCGGCAACCCCTGCTGGGAGTGTGTTAAGATGCACATCCGTGTCGCCCCAGCTCTGCTCGACTCTGGGGTGGGGCCCGGGGCCGTGGGTTTTAATAAGGCTCTGGGATTTTTTCGGACGTTCATTCGAGCTCGAGCACGGCGCAGAGGCGGGGGCCCGGGGTGGGGCTAGCGATGGAGAGACCGCCCGGGCTGCGCCTCGGGTGGGCGCCCCGCCCCGTCCCGTGCCCCCCGCGGGGTCGCGGGCGCCGGGGGGCAGCGCTGCGGCGGCCAGGCCCACGCTCCTCTCACTTCCCGCTATTGTCCCGAGTTCCTGCGGCCGCGTCTCCGCGCTCCCCCGCCGCCCCTGGCCCCGAGGAGCGGTGACTCACGTCCGTCCTCCGCGGTGACATCAGCCTGCGCGGCGCGGCGCGGCCCGCCCTCCGGGGCCTGACCGGGGCGCGGGCGCCGCTCGGCCTGCAGGGGGCGCCAGAGCCTGCAGCGCCCTCCCCGCCGCCCGCGAGCCGGACTCCCCCGCGTCCCGAGCCCGCACCCCTGGCGCGGAGGAAGGGGACCAAGGACCCGCCCCAGCCACCACCACCACCACCTGCCCGGCTCGTGGGAGCCACCAGCCGAGAGTCACAGATGGGGAAACTGAGGCCTGGCGCCGGGGTGTGCCCTGAGCTAGGCAGCCGGAGCCCCCCCTGCTGCCCCCCCCCCCGCTGCCCCACCTGTCGCCGGGTGCCCCTCGCCCACCTGCGCTGCCCGGCTCCTCCGCACGCAGGGGCCCCTGGACCCGCTCCTTCCCCCAGCCGCCTCCCAGGTTCCGGGGACCCGGGAAACTCACTCCAGTCCGGGCTTGTTTCACAAGACCCGGAGCCACCTGAGGGCGCCTTCCTCTAGGAAACACGGAGTCCTGCGAGGGCCACCGGGAGCTGGGCCCACGGCACACCCTCCCGGCCTCACACCTGTCCGCTTGCGGCTCTCCCTCCCCGGGGGCCCTTAGCGCTGTCACGCGGCCAGTCGCCTGCCTACCGGTGCCTGTCTCCCTACCAGGAAAATTCCTGCAGAATTAAATGAGCTCATACACGGAAGGTGCCCGTAGCAGTGCCGGGGGGCCTGAGAAGCACCTACAGCCTCCCGGGACGAGGGCTCCAGGAAGGAAGGGATGCTTCTGTTGTCTTGCTTTGTGCACTGCTGTATCTCTAACCCTTAGAGCACTATGTGGTACACAGGAGGAGCGCGATAAATACTTGTCCAGTGAATGAATGTTAGCTGTTATTATTGCCTAAGCTGATTTTACTCTAGAATTTAGGCCTGTCCGCGCAGGCCTAGAGGACAGGACAGGAGGATTCTTGAGGATCTGCTTGCACAAGGGATAGAGGGCTCCCTGGAAAGGAGTCATCCTAAGGAAAGAGAGTTGAAGAGGATAAAAGAGGTTCAAGGACAGGGTGAGGAGGAGAAGGTGATTCAGGGACAAGGATCCTCAGTGCTCACCCCTGAGTCCCAGGAGCACTGCATAAAGGAGTGGACAGTTTCACGAACATGCCAGAAGGAACGTCAGCATGATTTGTCAATGGCAGCTTCTTGACAGTTTGGACAATGAAGATTTGGTTTTTAAAAAGTCAGCACTTGGGACGCCTGGGTGGCTCAGCGTTGAGCGTCTACCTTCTGCTCAGGGTGTGATCCCGGGTTCCCGGGATGGAGTCCCACATCCGACTCCTTGCATGGAGCCTGCTTCTCTCTCTGCCTAGGTCTCTGCCTCTCTCTGTGTGTCTCTCATGAATAAATAAATAAAATCTTTAAAAAAAAAAAAGTCAGCACCTTTAATGTGGGTGGTTTACTTCTGGGAAGCATATCTCCAAAGGCAGAGCACCCGCAGGGCATTCCCAAGAACGCCTGCAGGGACAGAGCCAGAGAAAGCCAATTACTGTTATATGTGGTCATATTTCTGTCAATAGACTGATGGGGGTTTGGAGGGCTTGGGCCAACACAACTCAAAAGGGTAGCCCTGTCAGAGCTGCCTTAGTGGGGAGTGGGCCTGCTGTCTGTGGAAATGTTCAAGCAGAGGCTGAACTACCTCTCTAAGAGATAGCATAGTGGAGGTCCACCAAAGGATGAGAGCTTGGGCTAGATGGACCTCAAGGTTGCTGCTCTGAAGCAGAAATAGTGAAGCAGAGGGGTACCTGGCTGGCTCAGTTGGTAGAGCTTGTGACTTTCAATCTCAGGGTCATGAGTTCAGGCCTCATGTTGGGCATAGAGCCTGAAAGAAAGAGAGAGAGAGAGAGAGAAGAGAAGGAGAAAAAAAAGAAGGAAGAAAGAAAGAAATAGTGAAGCAGAGGGAATCTCTGAGACCACCCAGTCCTGGTTCTGCCACCGGGATGGCTTGGAAGTAAGCAGCTCACGGGAAATGGAGTTTGCCATGAATTATTCCTCACTGGTCTGCACTTCTTCCGGAATGACAGGTTAGCTCTGACCTAACCTGGCCCTTCCACCTGGTGGCCTGCTTGCCCTTGATGAGACAGTGAACCGTCATGGAGGAAGCCTCTCAGAGTCTGGAGTCGCCAGGTCTGGGTTCAAATCCCACCTCCTCCACTTCCTCAGCAAATCCTCTTACTTCTCTGAACCTCAATTTTGTCAGCTATGAAATGAGAATGAAAATATTTACTATTCAAAGTTGTTGCAAGATGATGTGTTCTCAATGCCTAGTACCTAGTAAGAGCTTAAAGAACATCCATCCTCTCTGACTTGCTTCAGCCCAGGGGCCAGGCTTTGCCTTCTTGGGGAGAGAGGAGATCATTCTTGAAAAGAATGTTGAAAGCTAAAAGGTTTAAGTGGGATCTTGAGCAACTCCCTTAACTTCCCCAGTCGCAGTCTATTCCTTTTTAAAACGAGGGAAGTGGGAAGGGGGTTCTCCAACTCCAGCTCGTATGTAGACTTTCCTAGATGTGAAAGAGCATTGCAAGCCATGGATGCTGGAGGTCACATCTTATCTTTTGTTCTCCAAACCAGTTGAGTCTTTCCACCCCTGAGCCCCACCTGGATTTCTAGCATGCCAACAGTGATGGGAGGGGGTGGGCTCTCGTATCTTCCAAAACTCAATTAGAAACTCTACGCCCCCATTTGCTTGTTTTGTGGCATTGGGAAGTCTCTGAGTCACAGTTTTCTAACCTCAGATGAGGACAATGACAGCTGCTTTGCAGGGTTGCTGGGAGAGTTGAACAGTGAGTGCTATATAAATGTTTACTAAATCACTAGAAATGTAGATGGATTAAAACAGACATATGTAAATAGATAGATGCATAAATAGATCGGAGATCGGAGATCGCAGCTAGATGAAGCCTTCCCTTCCTAAACCTCTCCTCCCACTATTCTGAAAACTTTGCTGCCAAACTCTGCCCCTCCCGGTTCTGGCCCCCACTTCCTCTGACCACACCAATGGACTCAAGGCTTGAGGGCCATGAAAGAAGGTTCTTCTTCGCAGAGAAGTTGAAGATACTGACAGAGATGGTTCCAGCTCAATCCACCCATCTAGCTGGCAGCCCTGGAGACCCCTCCTTTGTGGTAGTAGCATCTTTTAAGACATTTTCACTTGCAAAAACTATTTGTGTTCTTCCAACAGCCTGGAAAGATGGTAGGAATAAATATTAGTCACTGAATTTCAAGAAAGGGAACCAGAAAAACATGGAAAGCACTGGGGTTTCCCCTTGCAAGCCCCAATCAGTCATTCTGGAGCCACAAAGCCCCATCATAATAATCACCACTACTTAAGGGATGGCCCCTACGTGCCGAGGACTCACATAGTTTACCCAGTGTCAGTAGTCCCCTTAGGTCACCATGAAATCCCCGTGTGATAGCTGAGGAAACAGAAGTCAGGTGGTGAAGTGGCTCAAGATCATGGAACCAATAAACTGCTGACTAAGGATTCCAGACCCAGGTCTGAGGATGCCAAAGCCACTGCCAGTGGACTCTGGTGTCCTGACACTCTCCACTGGGGGGATGAGGCCAGGTGCTTCTTCTGGGCAGGGTTTGGGCTAAACACCATGCCCAGACTGGGGGGCAAGGGCCCCTTGGGCCTATGTGTTCATCTTCTCCAAACTTGAATTGTGCCTGAAGCTCTGCCTCTGCCTCCTCTGAAGCTCCCAGACTTGTATCAGAGGAGCAGAACCACTTTCTTTTTTCTTTCCTTTTTTTTTTTTCAGAACCACTTTCTATAAAGGGATTTGTTAGGGCCTTTGATAGCACGTAGTTAATTGTGTGAACAGTCTCTGTAAAACTGTTGTCTTCATGTCTATGCAGGGCAGGCATTTGGAAAGAGATGGATGTAAAGTGAGGGAGGCTGAGGGCAAGCTGGAACCCATGAGGATGGCCTGCAACCCACACTAGTTCTTGCCTCTGATCTTGATGGTGGAGGTGTTCAGCAGGAGAAGCTGACGTTCTCTGTTGAGATGCTGAGTGCACAGCCACCCCAGGAGTCTGAGAAGCAACGGGAGGATCCCAAGAAGTCAGAGCAGTGGCAGACTGGGCAGCTGCCCGCCCATCACTAAGTAAGAGATAATATGTAAGCTACAGAAGTATCTGCTCCTGCCTCCCTGGGCATTAAAAAACAGCAACAACAAAAGTTTGTATTAGTTATTTATTGCTGTGTAACAAATTACCCCCAAATCCAGCAGGTTAAAACAACATAAATTTATTATCTCACACAGTTTCTGCGGGGCAGGAATGTGGCAGTGAGTCTGCTGGGTGATGGTGGCTCCCATCTCTCATGAGGTCACAGTCAAGCCCTCAGCCAGGTTTGCAGTCAGCTGTAGGCTTGGCTGGGGCTAGAGGAACCGATTTCCACCATGAGTCACTCTCATGACTATACCCTGGAGCCCTCGCTCCTTGCCACATGGACCTCTCCTCTGGGCTGCTTGAGTGACCTCATGACATGGCAATGTACGGCCCCCAGAGCAAGTGATCCAAGAGAAACCCATGGTCTTCATGAACCACCATTTCTGCAATCTCTTATTTGTTGTAGTTCAGCCCTGTTCTGTGTGAGAGAGGCCCAAGGAAGAGCATGAATACCAGGGAGTGGGGGTCATTGGGGCTCGCTTGGAGGCTGGCTACCATGAGGGACGCCAGGGTACTGCTGAAATCAAGAGGCCCCAAGGAGCTTTATCAGGTGCCCAGCCTTCCCACCTAGCAGGAGAGCTATTTATTTATTTATTTATTTATTTATTTATTTATTTATTTATTTATTTATTTATATTTTACTTATTTATTCATGAGAGAGAGAGAGAGAGAGAGAGAGGCAGAGACACAGGCAGAGGGAGAAGCAGGCTCCATGCTGGGAGCCCGATGTGGGACTCGATCCCAGGTCTCCGGGATCACGCCCTGGGCTGAAGGCAGCGCTAAACCACTGAGCAGCCCGGGCTGCCCGGAGAGCTCTTTAAATTCACAGCTCGCTCCCACATCCTGACTGTTCCCCATAGTCCCAGCAACATCCTGCCTCAGCATCCCCTCTTGGAGACCCAGGAGGCATTCCCAATTACTATGTCCAACACTGAACTTCTGAATTTCCCCAGACCTTCCCTTGCATGCTTTTGCCCATCTCAGTAGTGGCAACTCCACCCTTCCAGTGACTTAGTCCCAAACTCAGATATTATCATTCCTCTTCCCTATGTCACATTTGCCATGTCCAATCCACCAGCAAAACCTGCTAACTCTTCTTCTTTCTTTCTTTCTTTCTTTCTTTCTTTCTTTCTTTCTTTCTTTGATTTACTTATTTATTTATTCATGAGAGAGAGAGAAAGAGAGAGAGAGAGGCAGAGACACAGGCAGAGGGAGAAGCAGGCTCCATGCAGGGAGCCCGACACAGGACTCGATCCCGGGACTCCAGGATCACACCCTGGGCCGAAGGCAGGTGCCAAACCGCTGAGCCACCCAGGGATCCCCTGCTAGCTCTACTTTCAAGCAGAGCTGAGGTCCACCTACTTCTCACCACCTCTGCTACTGCCCTCTGGGCAGCGCCCCATTCTTTCCTGCCCGGGTGACTGTGATTGCCTCCTGACTGTGACTGTCTCCTGTCTCTCTACGTGGCAGCCTGAGTGATCCCGTTAAAAGCCGGTAAGGTCCTATCACTCCTTTGCTCAGACTCCTGCAATGGCTCCCACTGACTCAGAGAAAAAACAGTCTCTGCAGTGGCCTACAAGGCTCTGTACCATCAGATCCCCCACCTTCATGCCCTCACCAACCACACCTGTCCCCTCTGTCCCTCCCTCCCCTGAGACACACTGGCCTCTGCCATACATCAGACCCATCCCATGTTAGCACCTCTACTCTTCCCTTCTAGGATACTTCCTTCAGAAGCAGCCAGGGCTTACTTCCTCAGGTTTTATGTCAAATGTCACCTTCTCAGGGGGTCTTGCCTCACCCCCCTATTCAACCCAGCAACCCTCACACCTCTATATGTCCCATCTGTCTTCCCTGATTTATGTTCTTCCACTGTACTCCATATTTCCCTATCCATTACCTTAGTTGTTTATCTGTTCACTATTTCCCCCTTTGGCTGAATGAGGGCTGAGACTGTTTGTTCACTGTTGTGTCCAAAGAGCCCAGGGCAGCGGTTGGCAGGTGCTCAGAAAGTACCTGATTTTTTTTAAAAAAGATTTTATTTATTTATTCATGAAAGACACACACACACAGAGAGAGAGAGAGAGGCAGAAATACAGGCAGAGGGAGAAGCAGGCTCCATGCAGAGAGCCCAATGTGGGACTCGATCCTGGGACTCCAGGATCACACCCTGAGCCGAACGCAGGCACTCTAACCACTGAGCAACCCGGGCATCCCAGGAAGTACCTGATGAAATAGCAGATTCTCAAGAACAATTTTTTTTTTTTAAAGTAAGCTCCACACCCAGCATGGAGCCCAGTGCGGGGCTTGAACTCAAGACCCTGAGATCAAGACCTGAGCTGAAATTAAGATTCAGATGCTTAACTAAGTCACCCAATTCCCTTAGAACAATTTTTGAAAGAATAAATGGAGGATGAATAATGGCTAATATACTACTTACCAGCTGTGTGACATTAAATGAGTCACTTCCCCTCTCTGAATCTAGGACCACACACAGGGATATCCTCAAGGATATGGTCATCTTAGACCATTCTCTAGTTGCTCAGAGTTCCAGCTACAGTGGCTCTGAAACTGGCTATGGTGAGACCTTGGGCAAGTCACTTAATTTCTCTGCCCCTTGGTTTTCCCCTCTGTAAAAGAGGC